ACCCACGTGATCAATACAGTGTGGTGTGACCGTTCACCCACGTGATCAATACAGTGTGGTGTGACCGTCCACCCACGTGATCAATACAGTGTGCCGTGACTGTCCACCCACATAATTAATACAGTGTGGTGTGACCGTCCACCCACACGATCAATTATCCAGTGTGCTGTGACGTGATCAATACACCACACATGCAGCCTGTCACCTCCCGGATCCCCTTCGAGGCTGTTCGTTTATGCAATAAAATCATCACTGAATTGTTACCATTGCCTTCGAGTCTTCGGCAACACATGTCCGTATTGGCTGACATGCTGATAACTCAATTAAAACTAACTTTTCCTTTCCCTACTCGTGTGAAAAGTGTGAGTGAGTAAATCTATTCTGAAAAGGGTTTAAAAAGTTAATACTCTTAAGAATAAAAAGTGACCTAAAATAGATTATATCTTCTCCTCTTGTTTTAACCAAAACCCCAACTCAGACTAAATATGTCAATTCTATACTTAACTAAATATAAATTAAATAACCAAGATGTAAAAAAAAAATTAAAATAAAACACCCTTTACACCAACTGACATACTAGAGAGTTGCATTCAGGAGTAATCATAATTTTTGTTAATAATGCCCATGGGGCATTCTATAGGTGCTGAATACTAAGCCCAGGGCCTTCTGGCTTTACTGAGCCGACATACCTTAAACACATAGTACAGGTAAGACAGTAGTATGGCGAAAGCCCCACAGGTGGTCCAGCTCACTATGAGAAAGACAACTGTCAACACAGGCAAGTCTGGGGACATCGCCTTGACATCTTTGGGAAGTTCAGCAGGTCTAGAATAAAAGGAACAAAGTTTTCTTTTGAAATCCAGCAGCTCACAGAAGAGGAAATCGATGTATCGGCCAAGGGCCACCAGAGGAGCATCCTGAGTCACGACCGTGTATGCTAGGCCATAGCCAGAACACAGATGCATTGAGGAAACTGTAAAATAAGCTTCAAGTAAGGTATATGAAGCAAAGTGAAACAAATGCATTTTGTACTTGGATCCCGGTGTCATCCTCAAGATTCTTCCTAACGTATATGCAAATATTTCAAACTCTAAGAAAGTCTGAAGTTGGAACCGTCTCTGGATGAGCATTTCCGGTGGAGGGCTCTACCAGCTCCTCAGCTGGCTATTAGTATACGAGGGACACAGAGCAAACCATGAACCCAAACTGTGTCCAAAACAAACACAAAGGAAACATACCATGTCTCTCAGCAAAGATGAGAGGGGACAGCAGCTCTACACACTGTGACGATTGCTTTCATGGTCAGTTGTATTACGCCTGGAACTTGTACCAGGAAAGGAACGGGCCAATTATTTACACATCCTGTGTCAGGCATGCCCAGTCCTTCCTCCTGGGAGCCTGGGGTCTCACTGACAGAAACCTGAGATCCCCCTCCAAACGGTGAAGGAAACAGCAGCATCTACGACCTCCTGTGTGGCGCGGGAGAATTGTCTGTATTCTGTCAATCATGTTTTAAATAAACGCTGATTGGCCAGGCAGGAGGTGTAGGCGGGAAAACCAGACAGGAAGTGGAAATGATGCAAGGAGAGCAGGAGAATTCTGGGGAGGAGGAAGTTGATTCCTCCCACTCCTGTCCAGACCACCGAAGCAGCAGGATGTGAGCTGCCCCACTGAAAAAGGTACTGAGCCACATGGCTAACATAGATCAGAAAAATGGGTTAATCAAGATGTGAGAGTTAGCTAATAAGTAGCCAGACCTAATGGGCCAATCAGCATTATAACTTATAGAGATCTCATGTGTGATTTTTCTCTGGGACTAAACATCTGGGGGGCAGGGAGGGAAAGAAGCCCAAACAAGCAGCCCCCACCCCATGTTACACCCGTGTGACAGGAGGAGTCACCCAGTCACCCGGCTTGGCGGAGTCAAAAGAAAACTAGATTGGGGTTTTACCAGCAAAGCCACTCGTACGTTTAAATTCAAACTGCCTTTGGGCCTGGAATACAACCGGGCTGTTTTTAGGGCCTTAATCCATCAGATGGTAAAGGCCAAGACTGACATCTCCTGCCGTTAAGTTTGATAACAGAAGTCAGACTCTTTACAAAGTAAGTGACAACAAAAGCTTGTAAGGTTTCCGAGTGGAATCTGTCTGCACATACATATGATTTCGGGCTTTGTCCCTCCTCTCTCCTCCTCCTGACCTCTCCAGTGCTGAGGGCCAAGCTCAGGTCCTAGCACACACCAGGCACAAAGCTCTTCCGCCAGGCTGCACCCCAGCCGCAATGTTTTCTCCGCTAGGAGGAGGAAGAACGCTTTGAACACGACCGTACCTTTTGAGAGCCAGCCACAGCGACGAGAGGAGCTGCACAGACGTGGAAGAGAGCAGACCACTCCAGTATGCGGTGCAAGTCCCGAACAGAAAGAGAATCAAGGACACCAGAGGGAAACACATACTCTGACTGGTTAGAACGATGGCGTCTAATTCCGGTAATAGCACCGCATCCCATAACTCCTTAAACCATTTATACCTGGCAAATGGACAGAGGGAATCATAAAATAGAAGCAAAACAAACCAAAATGCCAGCCACTAGTGTTTAACTTTTTATTTGAGATGTTTGGCCATCTGTTAGAAGCTTTAAAGGGCTAAGATAGTTTGCCAAATATATTAAAAACAAATCTTAATTATTTTTCGTCTGTTTTTCAGATAAGCGCTTATGTAGATGAGACTGGATTTGAAGGACAGCTCCTCCTGCCTCTACGTTCTGCGTGCTGAGATTACAAGTGTGTGCAAGCATGCATGGCTTTTACTTCATTTTCTTCTATGTGTGTGCATGTGTGTATGCGTTGCGTGCGTGTGCATGTGTGTATGTATGTGCAGTGTGCATGTGTAAGCGTGTGTGCGCGAGTGTGTGCTGCGTGCATGGTAGCCAGAGGAGGATACTGAACACCTTCCTCTACAGCTCTAAGCCTTACTCCCTGAGGATAGATACGGTCTGTTACCGAACTGGTGGTTTGCCGTTTCAGCCAGCAAGCTCTCGGAAGCCGGCTGTTCTTGGCCACTCAACGATGGGGTTTTACAAGCAAACACAGCCACAACCGCTTTTTCACAGTTTCCACAGTGAGTACTTTTACCAAGCAAACTTCCCAGGCCTCGGCTTGTAATCCTTTAAGTATCCGAGACCAAGGGACCTGGAAGCTACCTTACTCCTATCAATCACAGAACTAATACAGTCTTTCTGGTTTAAAGTCAGGAAGTCAACAGCTATTTAGAAAGACAGAAAAAAAGAAAAAAATTACCAAATGTGAGAAAATCAGTAACAAATATTAACCTGGTTAAAGTTTAAGCTTTAGATTTTTAGATACATATAATATATAATTACTTATATATAATGTCTGAAATTATATATAATTTTATAAATGATCACATTACTGGGAATAAATGTGAATAGATACATTGGGCTTTTTTTCCCTAAAAGTTTCAGTTTAATTAAAAAAAAATCAATTGCCAAATACATATAAAAATTCATACTACATTATGGAATAAAAACATGATTATCTTACAAACAGAATTAAAATCACTATCACAGATAATAAAACTTACCCCAACAAAAACTTAATCATAATCACAAAAGGGTCCACTTTGTATGGTTTGGCCTCTTTATCCAATATGGCTGCATATTCTAAGCAATAACCTGGGGATTAAAAAAATCATTTGCGGGCAATGAAGAAACCATAGGAATTAAGCAAATGTACTTTATCTCTGAATGCCAATGTAACATATAACAGAGAACGGCGCCGCACACCGGAAACTGCAGGGTCTCTCGCTCTACCCCAGAGAGCCGTCCTGGGAAGGGTCACTGTAACCCACACATTTAGTCTTCGTCAAGCAAGGGGAGATGCCAAGGCCAGGGCTTTACAGTGTGTTTCTATAAACAACAACGGGTGACTTTAAGAACAGCTTTATTGAGATACAATTCCTATGCCACAGAATCCATCCATTTACAGTCCATAGACTCAAGGACTTTTAGTATATTTGGTCATGCCTCCACCCATACAGTCAGTCTCGGGACATTTTCATCACCTTAAAGAAACTGCCTGCTTTGAAATTATCCACCATTTGGCAGTCACTGATCTATCTGCTGTCATTCGGGACATTCCTCTTCTGCGCATGTGATATTAATGGAATCCTAGGCTCTGTGATCTTTGTGACCAGCTTCTTTCAATCAATGCTTGCCAAGACCCAACCATATTTTAATATATATATAGGGATTTTGGGGGGTGTTAGGGATCAAATGCAATGAGAGCCGTTGGGCAAGCACCCGACCACTGAGCGACACCCTCGGCCCTTCTTTCTTTTTATTGGTGAACACATCTTTTCAACACCCGCTTTGCTTATTATGAAGAGTACTTCTGTGGACACTTGTGAACATGTTTTTATGTGGATGAAGGCTTTCAATTCTCCTTGGCGTGTTCCTGAGAACAGAGGCGCTGGGTTACATGGCAGCTCTGCCCATCAGCTGAGGAATGGTCTGACTGTTTGCCACGGTTGTGCTGTGCGTGACGGTTCCAATTTCTCCACTTCCTTATTAGCATATCACTTACTGCTCATTCCAGGGGGTACAGTCTGAAAGTGACTTGTGATTTGCATACTTGGAGCACGGAAGGCCTCTTCTTTTGTTTGAGACCTACTCGTACATTTAAATCCTCTCTAGCAGAGCTAGTTTCCGATGTCCAAGCATCTCCCCAGACAGCCCAGCAAGTTCTCTTATCAGTCTGCGGCAACAAAGCAGTACCAAGTCTCTTTCCGAAGACCAGCGTGCATCCTAAGGGCCGGCTGACATCACACTTCCAGACTAGCTCCACCATTACAAGGCTAGGTCTGGAACTCGGAAAACAGCAGCGGCATGTGCTCTCTATAAAGAGCCTGGTTTGCATGTGTGCATGCGTGTAAGTGGGTGCAAACAGGAGTGGAGCCTAAAATGCAAAGGAGACCAAGAGTGAAAAGGGACTGGGGTGGGGGGAGATTACACTGGGTCACATGACACGAAAGGGGGGGTCCCCAAAAGATGGAAGGGGGAGACTAGGGGAAAATCAATTATAATATACTTCCTTTAAAAAAAACCATTATAATATTTAATACTTTGTATCGTATTTTTTTTAAAAAAAGGTCAGTTCTGGGGCTGGAGAGATGGATCAGTCATTAGGAGCATAAGCTGCTCTCCCAGAGGACCGGGGTTCAATTCCCAGCACCCACATGGCAGCTCACAACCATCTGTAACTCCAGTTCCAGGGAATCTGACACCCGCACACAGACATACATGCAGGCAAAACACCAGTATTTTTTTTTAAAAAAAAAAATAGAAAATGGCTGGTTCTGGGGCAGACCCCATTTCTTTCCTCTCCACAGAATACGGGTTAGTGATTAAATATGAACAATAAATTCGCAAAGGCCATTTTCATGAAGTTTCGTGAAGGGCATTACAAGAACGGAGTAGTCAGAAGGTCTGGCGCACAGAAATGGTGAGGAGGATTCCTGGCTTTCTGTAGCTTGGCCTCACTCCTCTCCCCACCTCCTATCTCCTTTGAGACTGTCCAGGTTTAGCCTCTTGGGAATCGTAGTCTGCATCTCTTCAGAGCCGCTCCATACTTCGCTCTGCTGGCTCTGGAGGCTGACTTCTGTGGACAAATGCCTCTGGGCAACAGCGGTGAACGGGAGAGCAGGAAGAAGTGAGGCTAAGATCTCCCCGCCTTCCCCTGTGAGGCCAGGCAGCACTGACTGCTTCTTCTGTCTTCTTCAGCCATGTGGAAGAGTTTTAAAGTGTTTGGTAATGATGCACTGGCTTAAAATGTAGGACAGAAAAGGCCAGGGCATGAGGGAGGAGAGAGAAGGAAAGGGAAGGAGGAGAGGGAAGGGAGGGAGAAAAGGGGGGAGGGAGGAGAGGAAGGGGAGGGAGGAAAGAAATAGGAGGGAAGA